GGATGTGGAACTCTTGGCTACTTCTCTAGCACAATGCCTCCCTGCCTGCCACCACGCTTCTCACCATGATGATAACAGACTACACCTAGGAACTATATGCAAGCCCACAATTAGGTGTTTTCTTTTCTGAGAGTTGCTGTGGTCATGGTGTCAGTCCATAGAAACCCTAACTAAGACAAGAGGGTTTGTTTTGGTTTCCTGGGTGAAGACACAGTCCGTCTTGGTAGGAACTCATGGCAATGTGATCATTAGTGGTGACTGGTCACATTGCATCTGCAGTCAGGCAGCAGAAGGAAAGGGATGCTGTGGCTCAGGTCACTTTCCCCTCTTTATTCAGCCCGAGACACAAGCCCATGGAATAGTGCAGTCACATTTGGGATGAATCTTCTACCTTTGTCAAAGGAAGCACCTTTATAGGCATTCCTAGAGTCTGTCTTCTAGCAGATTCCAAATCTAATCACATTAACATCACAAAAAGGGTAACCTTGTTCATGTAAAAATCTACCCGAGACTTAAAAAGGAATAAATGTCTCATTTCTTCATATTTTTACACCAAATTTCACTTAGTTGCCGCTTGCCCAGCTGGTAGGAATTCCCCTGCAGTTGCTGTGGGCCACCCCTTTCTTCCTGGTGATCGTCATCAGATCAACAAAGGCAGATAGACATGGGACAGCTCTCATCACTACCAGAAAACATTGTCTAGATCTCTGCAGCCTATTGAAAAGTGTTCAAATGTCCATGGTCTTTCTGTGTCTAGGCCATAGAGTCTCAATCATGCAGTCTCCTCAGAACCCAGCAACTCTTTTCTAGACAGTGGGTTCCTGTGTCAGCCTCTCATAGGACTCACCAAAGTGCTTCTTATCCCAGTCCAGATGGATCCATGGTCCTTTGTTCCCTGTCTTGAGGGAGGGGCAACCTGGAGAAGTGTCCTCAGGTCTGTTAAAACAAGGTGTGTCTAGGGGTCATTCTCAAGGTCCTGATGAGCCTTATTCTGTTTTAGAGATTAAAACTCGAACCTATTAGTCTGCAACAACAAGCATGGGAAAGCCATGCCTTATCAATGAGACCTTGGTCCCAATGAGAGACCCTGTCTCAAAAAAAAAAAAAAAAGAAAGAAAGAAAGAAAGAAAATGGTGGGGGAGTCTTTAGAGACAGCTCAGTGACTAAGCATACACTGCTTTTGCAGAGGATGCAGGCTGTAACTCCAGATCCAGGAGATCTGACACCCTTTTCTGGCCTCCTCAGGCACCTGCACCCACACATACATATTCCACTCCAACACATACATAATTAAAAAGAAAATAAATCTTTAAAAATTCCATTGAGGATTATAAATGAAACAAACAGGCTGTGGTGACCAGCCTGGACTCTGATGGTTAAGTTGAACAGCTGCCAACAGTTCAGAGAGTTCAGAGAGATGGTAGCTGCTTGCTGTTCCATTGTCCAAGGAAGGCATCCTGCCTCCTGCCTACGATGAAAGCATGCCTCTGGACTGTAGATGGAAGTTTCTGTCCTGCCTGGTCCTGCAGCCATTCAGTCCCAAATAAACACACAGACACTTGTATTAATTACAAACTGTTTGACCTATTAGCTCAGGCTTATTATTAACTAGCTCTTACCACTTAAATTAACCCATAATTCTTGTCTATGCTTAGCCACGTGGCTTGGTACTTTTTCTCAGAAAGATATTCTCTTGCTTCCTCTGTGTCTGGCTGGTGACTGCATCTCTGCCTTTTCTCTTCTCAGAATTCTCCTAGTCTGGTCACCCTGCGTATGCTTCCTGTCTGACTACTGACTAATCAGCATTTTATTAAACCAATATGAGTGACAAATCTTTGCAGTGTACAAGAGCATTATTCCACAGCACTGGTCTGCATTTGTTTATTTATTTATTGCATGTAGATGTTGTTAGAATTGTTGTGTGGCTTCCCTGTCCAACTCTATCAGTTTTGACACCAAGGAGAGTAGAACTAATTCTCCCTACCCTAGACACAGAGCAAGGCTGTCCAAACTCTGCAAAATGCACACAGTGAGACAAAGGCTATGATGTAACAGGAAATCCAGAGAAGGATGCACGGTGTACTGGGCGAGGCAAAACACCTCTGTTGTATTCACGCACTTTTGCCAGCCAGGAGCCCGCAGTTTCAGGAACTACTTTCATTTAACAAAGAGGTTATTTTAAGCTGGTATCTAACCCGCGTGCCTCCAGCACACGGTTCGGTGAACTACCCTTCGACAGGAGGATATAGACTGGTTCTTTCTTCCCGAGTGAATCACAGCAAGCTTCCATCCCCGGTTTATTATGCTTTCTGTATCTCTGCTCATTTCTCACCAGAGTTGCATTAAGTATTGATATTGATTTCTTGTAAATGGGCCTGAAATAGATGGCCCACAGTTTTTTTGTTATTGTTTGGTGGCACTTGTGTGTAATTTATTATGGCTGCAGTGGAAGCTGCCCTTTGCTGCCATGGCGTAAATTAAATGCGTCACACTCTGGCCTCTGCTGGTCAGCAGTGTTTCTCACTTGATACCAAAAATTATCATGTACAAAGTTTCTCCTTCCTTCTCTCCCTTCCTTAAGGACAGCATCTTATTTTGAAAGTTGGTCTGGATCTCTATCCTTAGTGAATCAGATGAAAATGAGGGAGGCAGCTGTTTTATTCTAGCACCTGGTTTTGCTTAGTACCTGGGAGGCTGGGCACACAGGGACCCAGATGGTCGGTGGTATAGTTTTGCTCTACCCAACAGAGTGACCTTGGGTCAGCTCTTTGTGAGTTTGTAGAGACGCTGTGTCAATGCAGCACACTGTTACGGCTTTAAAGAGTATAAGAGATTGTGTGTTTGAGACTGCGTCTCCCTGTAACCCTGGGTGGCTTGGAACTCACTATGTAGACCAGGTTGGCTTCAAACTCACAGAGATCCACATGCCTCTGCTGCCCAATGCCAGAATCAAAGGTATGTGGTACTACTCCCAGCTGCGATAGTTTGTTAGGAGCAAATGTGATTGACGCAGGTTAGAGATTCAGACCCAGGCTGCCTTGAAGAGCTTGCACAAACTCTTAAAGCTATACCACAGAAGAAAGCCACATATCATAAACCAAATACATGAGTGGCTGGCGACGTATAGCAGAGCGCGGAATCTCTGCCTTGGGTCTCAGATGCTGCCTTGTGAGGGTCTTGTTAAGCTCGTGGTCTCCTAGATTTGATGATGTGTCCCACAAGTTTTACTTAATACTTGCAAGCCCGCCAGGTCAGAGTCACAGGTGGGGAGTAAATGGCGAGTCAGGGGATTAAAGGTAGCCCCAAATAATTTCAGCTATCTGCAACATCTCAACTCTCTAAAACTGCAAGTTCTGGTCAGTCCACTGCAGGATCATGGTTTCTTCAGAGAACTTCAGTTCCCAGCCCCCATGGCTGCCATAGACACAGGGTTCTGGTGGTAAAGCCGTGGTCTGGGACCTGGGAGCAAAGTTACTTTCTGTCTGCACCTGTCCTGTTGTACCTGGGAAACAGTGGGGTGGCAGAGTGGCTGCTGAGTGGATAACCTGAGCACCAGGCTAGCGCTAGCTTGGCTGAGGGCAGCTTCTGAGGGAAGGTAACCTACATTTTTGTGTAGGAATGAGCAGTCTTGAGGGGCTTACTCAAGGGGCGGTGCAGGATCACAGAGAAAAGGCAGAACCTGACATCATGGATTGGTCTGAGAAGGACAGGAGAGGGCACTGCAAGGAACACGGTGCCAGTTAATGGAGAAATAGATCTCTCTCTGGGTGTCTCTGTCTCTCTCTCTCTCTCTCACCCCGTCTGTGTGTGGGGAAATGTTCATAAATTTTTTCTACTGTCAATTGGACTTGTTTGTCTGAGCCAGGCCAGGGAAGCCACATTGTGCTTTCATAGAGAAGGACAAGCACCATCACCTGGGTACATTCAGCACTCTGTCAAGGCTTCCAGCCCTGTCCTCTAAGATCCTGGTTCTGTTCATGGTTTGACTGCATCCCTGAGCTTCTGGCTTCTGTGTCTTGCACTGTGATGGGTTCGATGCAGGGGAGAATAGGACTGTGAGAAATATCAGGGGTCACTGTGACTGTGGGAGTGGGCTAACATTGGCTCAGCTATAACATAAACATGCAGTGTATGTGTGCGAGAGCGTGTGTGTGTCTGCTGCACAAGTGTGGGCATCCAGGTTCTGATCACCTCCCATTTTCTACCCATGTGGTCTTTCACTCCAAATGATTTCCATTAGGCTCGAAGAATCCCACTGAAGGAAACTTGCCAAGTGCCTCCCACAAACCTCCAGCCACCTCCACACCCTCCGCTTCCAAGGAACCGAATTCAAGTTTTCTGCGTTCAGCTTGGAGCAAAACAGTGTCTATTAATTAAAATTTCATTTCTATTGATAATGGGACCCACAGGCCCTTTCTCTGAAGTGGACACAGACCTTTTGTGGCGTGTCCGTCTCAGGGCTTGCTGTGTGAATTAGGTCTGATTGCAGTGTGAAGGGCCCTTCTTGCGGTTCTCTGGGCCGATCGCTCTCTATTCTTCCTCCGACCACTTCAAATAGGTTAGCTTCCTTTCTTTCTTCCCTCCCCAGGCCTTCTTTAAAGGCGAAGCCTGAGATGCTCTTACTGAACCTGGAGCCTTGCACAAGCGGGAGACATTTTCCCAATATCCAGGCGGAAGGCCCTTCCCTCCCTTCCTCCCCTCTCCCTCTCCCTTCTCTCCCCCTGCGGAGGCAGCCCCATCAAGGAGAGAGAAGGAACACGATGTGGAAGCAGATGGAGTTCAGTGGTGCCCAGAGTGGGTACTTAGCGGCTTTGCAGAAGCTAACTGTTAAATCGTCAGGCATTTTGCCAGCTGCTTTTTAAAAACAAAGTCATTATTAAAAATTAAATCATAGAGACTAGGCAATTAAATAAATTGTATCAAAGCCAAAAAAGAAAAATACTCAAAGGTCATCATTTGCTCCTTTTTTTCCTTAAAAAAAAAAAAGAGAGATCATTTTATTTTCAGCGGTGTCATAGGTCACAGAACCTCCTTGTGAAGGCACAGGTGGGATTTGACGCTCCGTGGGTCACTGCGTTTCTTGTATTATTTACTTCCTGCTTATCAAAGGTGACAGTAGCCAGTGTGTCAACAGCTGGGCGCAGTGGGGTTGCACTAAAACTCTATTTACAAATCAGACAGCGGGATGTCTGCCTGTTCCTATGTCCCCGAGGTTCCTTCTGCCTGGATCAGCCTGATGAAGTACAACGACGATGCAAGACGCTTCTCCTGCTCACTTCTTCCCTAAGTCACTGTCTGTGACCCTGGGTTAGAAGCTTCAAATCGGCCACACTGGGAGGAATCGCACCCGAGAACAGATGGGTGTCTCAGCTACCCTGGGAGCTGCGGAGTCTCGATGCACCCTGCGCTGGCGAGGAGGTCTCAGGCATAGCATTTAGTTCCCTGGCTTTAATTTCCCTGTGCGAAGGTAAGGGCACAGGCGCCAGAGGACTGGCTTTAGAGGAGGGCGTGGCATGAAAGGCACACACAGTAGCCAGCCTGATTCAGGGGAGGTCCACAGTAGAGTCAACAGCAGTCTCTGGTTCTGGGATCTTAGACCTCCTTAGAAGGCACCAGCCGCTCTAGCCTGAGACCCTCAGACAACCTGTGCATTCCTAACCCAAACCCAGCCCCCCAGGCTGAGCTCTCTGGGGTAGGCTCCTGCCTGCACCGCTGGCTGTTGTGCATTCACACAGTGGTAGGTCAGGGCCTGCTGCTGTCTGGGTGGCCACTGATCCTTGCTGCCTATTCCTCTACTTAAAATTGTTCTTAAAACACCCCCAATTGTGCCTCCTAGTAGCTAGTCTCTATATTCTGCTCTGCACCAAGACCTTGAATCCTGTGTTTGGTCTGCTTCTAGGTCACTAACACATTTGAGGAACTCCTGAGACTGCCAAGGGTGACAGGGTGGCATCATGGACACCGTTAGCCAACCCTAAGCCCATGACCCCCATTCCCTCCCATAACAAGCTACACCAGAGCCAGGACCAAATACCTGGATACTATTCCAAAAGACCAGGACCCCCCACATTATAAAAAAAAATACAGTTTTAAAACACTCACCCACCTACCTTGCTATTTTTGGACTCCACTGTGAATGTCCTTGTGATTTTCTGAGTCCCCTGGAGGTCACTGGAGTGGCCTGCACCTCCTCGGCCTTAAGCACTCCTACCAGCGGCAATAGGCTCTGTGTGGTCAATTAAATCTGGTAGATCATGAACTCTCCCACCCCTCTATCACCAGCTGTACTGGTCCCCACTTCCCAGCCACATGGAGCAATCCCCTGCCTCAGCACATTTTTACTTGCTGTTCGTCCTGCTTAGACAGTTCCAGCCTGAGAGATGTTCGGTACGTGGCCACATATCCCCGGGGCATCCAGGAGCCAGGAAAGCAAGCCAGGGGGAAGAACTAGAGAGTGTCGGTGGTTGTGAAGCTTCTGGAGCATTGAGAGGAGACGATCCTGTTGTGACAGGGGGACAGCAATTGTACTACAGTGAGGGACTGACCTCGAACATCACAACACCTAGCTTTCTGGTGTTCAAAAGGCCTTCTTTGTTAAGGGCCACAAACAAATTTGTGGCCTACCTGGCTTTGGTTTCAAGCAGAATAGATGAAAAAGTGACAGAGGTGCCCCATTTACCCTGCATGCTGCCTGTGTGAATTTGCTTCCAACCTTTCTCCATTCTCCCATTTGCTCCATTCCTGTACACACCATGATGGATGGGGTTCCCAGGCTGGGCTTGTCTCCATCAGTCCCTGTGGGCACCATACACCAGGCATGTGCCAGGAACAAGACATCCCCCTACTGACAAATCAGAAGTGTCCCTTGGCCTCCCCTCACTTCCATCCTGTTTGAGAGTTTTGCCGGCATGCTTGTACATGCACCATGTGTACATAGTGACTGCAGAGGCCAGAAGAGGTAGTCAGATCTTCTGGAACTGGAGTTACAGACCATTGTTAGTTGCCCTGTGGGTGGTGTGAACAGAACCCATGTCCTCTGGAAGAGCAACCAGTGCTCTACCTAAGCACTCTCTCCAGCACCTTTCTGGATGTTTTTAAATATAAAATACCTAGATATAGTGTTTCTGTTATTTTTGTATATGCATTCATCATTTATTATTTCATGTCTTTTTATCAGTTTGAGAAATTTCTCTGCTATTTTCTCTGGGATTTTGGTTAGATATGATTTAGAATTTTTGGTTTATGCGTTTTTACTGGTTCATCTTGGCTGTAGTGCTAATTGGTGGGTATTTCCACCCCCACCTTTCAATCCATTAATGGCTCTTTAATTGTGTCACACCTGCTGTCGAATCTACCCATTCTATTTCTGCTTGGAATAACAATTTCATCCCTAAAGGTTCTCCTGGGTTTTCTGATATCCTTGGTTATTTTGATGTTTTCTTTTTTGTGTGTCTATTGATGTTTACATTACAATCACAATGTCCTCATACAGTTAATATAGTTAATCAAAATGCTTGGTATTAACTTTGTTTTGAGCGGATCTCATCTGAGATTGGCCTTGAACTATGCCACCAAGGATGATCTTGAGTTTATGATTATCCTGACTCTAGCTCCTGAGTGCTGGATTTATAGGCACACATCACAGGTGGTTTATATTTTATATTATCTATATGATAATTCTAATTTCTGAGTTATTGGAAACCTAGCTTTATTGTCTGGTATGGCTGCTGACTTTACATCATGGTTGCTTGTTGTGGAATATTTTGTATGTGTTACATTTGTTTATGCTGTGGAACATTCGTTTAATGATGCAAAGATGTGTTGCATTCTTTTATGTTGCATTTGCTTACCTTTGTGAAGCTGTGTTACTTTGCCTGTCTAAAATACCTGATTGGTCTAATAAAGAGATGAACGGCCAATAGATGGGCAGGAAAAAGGATAGGGGGGGGCTGGACTGCAGAAAGAATAAATAGAAGTAGAAAAAGAGAAGACTGCGGAGAGAGAAGAGGAGAGGAGAATATTAGGGACCAGCCACCAAGCTACACAGCCAGACATAGAGTAAGAAGTAAAGAAAAGTACATAGAATAGAGAAAGAAAAAAGTCCAGAGGCAAAAAGTAGATGGGATAATTTTAATTAAGAAAAGTTGGCTAGAAACAAGCCAAGCTAAGTCCAGGCATTCTAAGTAAGAATAAATCTCTGTGTGATTATTTGGGAGTTGGGTGACAGGCCTCCCAAAGAGTTAAAAAACAAAACAAAACCCACTACAGTTACTTGTTTCTTTGTGTCTTGTTGGCCTTTTACCATAGAACTACACCCTGCTTCACTGGTAGGCATTTGACAGCTCTTAGTGGAGGATCCGGGCACTTTTGGACTCTGCTGACGTTCCATCCATAACAAGGCTGTCTCACTTTCTTTTCTTGTTTCTGTGACCATATACCTGACAAGAAAGTAACTTAAAGGAGGAAGTGGGCTGTCAAGATGGCTAAGGGGGTAAAGGGGATTGCCACCAAGCCTGAAGTCCCACAGAGTGGAAGGAGAGAACTGACTCCTTCAGGTTGCTCTCTGACCTTCACAAGGGCACTGCGGCATGCATGTTCATATACACACATGCACACAATAAATAAAATGTAATAATTTCTTTTTAAATGGAGGGGAGGTATATTTTTTTCGGAGGGAAAAAAGTCCAACGTGGCAGGGAAGGCATGGTAGTGAGAGTGACTCAGTCTGTGGTACCAACCAGAAAGCAGAGAAGTGAGGATCCTGGCACATGACTGACTTTGGTTTTTCCTTTTTTATTCAGTCTGGGACCTTAACCCATGATGCTCTACGTATCTTTGCATCACACATTTCTTTCTCAGTTAAGTCTCCCTGGAAACATCCTTGTAGATACACCCCTAGGTATATCTCCTGCGTGAGTCCAGGTATCAACTTGACAAGAACAGCTTAGCTCCTCCACTTTCCTGTGTTACGGGTCCCACACTGGGTCAAGGACTCTGTGCCACAACTCCTTCCTGTTTGTCGCTGAGGACCGAGTTCAGCCCAGGTTTGTCTTCTCTGGCAGTAGAGGAATGGAAGCAGTGTTCCTGGTCTTCTATAGATAAGCAATGGAACAAGAAAACAACTGCGCCAATCTAGCCCTCATATGCTTTTTAGGAGTAAAGTCTCCACAGCTATAAAATGGTTAAGACCACAGTGGCTCCTTCATGAGGCTGCTAAGCATATAAAATCACTTATCTGAAAGAATTTTGGCTTCCGAAGCAGTGGCAACCAAACCCCCACACAAGCGGAAATCTGTCGACTCTTCTTATCCAAGATGGCTGACTGACCCTGTCTCATGTGTCTGATGAGTCACAGCCCAAAGAGCCCAGTGAAATATTAATTTCTAATAAGCAAGGGACAGCTTGCTAGTTATAAGCTTGTGCCAAATATCGCATGCGTCAAACTTAAAATGAAAAACAAAATTCCATTTTACCCGGAAGCAGAGGTGGGGGAGTACAGATACTCAATCGGCTTCTTCCTCTTTAATACTTTTTCAGTCTCAGACTTCAGCCTGTTCTGCTGACTTTTATGGTAGGCATTCATTCCTCATTTTAACCTCTCTGGAAACATTTTCATGACAGGCTCAGAGCTGTGTTCCCAGGTGATCTTCAGGCCACTGACTTGACAAGATCAGCCATCACTGTGCAGTAGGCTTAGCCAACAGTGTGTATATGGAGGAGGGAGGAACACTTGTGGTCGCCGGGCTCTCTAACTCAGGGAGTGTAAAAGGAGCAGTGGACCACATTCCCGCCACCCAGCTTCCTGGCTAGTTTACACCCGAAATAATTATATGGAAACTGTATTCTTTTAAACATTGCCTGGCCCATTATCTGTAACCTCTTATTGGCTAACTCTTACATATTGCTTTAACCCATATTTAGTAATCTGTGTAGCACCACGAGGTGGTGGCTTACTGGGAGGATTCTAACCTGCGTCTATCTTGGGCAGGAGAAGCATGGCCACCGACTCACTTCCCTTCTTCCCAGTATTCTGTTCTGTTTACTCCGCCTATCTAAATTCTGACCTATCAAGCCAAGGCAGTTTCTTTATTAACCAATGAAAGTAACACAATAGACAGATGACCTTCCTCCATCATTACGACCCTGAGTTTAAGAGTCTCACGCTCTACCAACTGAGCTAGCCAGGTGGTGGAAAGCAGCCCGCCATTCCTTTTACTATAAGGGAGGCTTCACAGCAAGTGCCCTGCCCTGCTGAGCCATCTTGTGACACTTACCTAAAAATTTAAATGTAGCTGGGCACCTTGACTTTGTTTAGTTGCCCTAATGAAAATTCAACACATACGACTTTTGAATTCGTAACTAGGTTGTTTCTAAAACTATCATCTCTCCGTGAGCATCCTTGGGCAGGCGAAATGAATGACCTGCCCATGTGACTTAGCAGCAAGACTGGGATTTGAACCTAGGTCTCCCTGACTCTAAAACCACGGCTCCCTGTGTTCAACAAGATTTACTCAGCTACTTCCAGGATGAGAAACCTAGCTCTCCCCCACCCCCGCCCCACTTACTTTTGTGAGAACAAGGGAGGGGGAAAGTTCCAGTCCCTATGAACTTCCTCGTGCAGGGGAGGCGCTGAGGCTAGGTGCTGTGGGTGCTAGCGAATCAGAACAGCGTGTTCCCATCAGAATGTTCTTTTCCGGGAGGAGATAACAGGATAATAGGTGTGTTACTTGCTTCCTGGGAAATGATGACTGACAAAAAGTCCCTGGAGATTAGAGTAATTCAGAACGAGTTAAGCTCCTTAGAGATCAATTTTTATTTTGAGGCAAGAGGGAGAATAGAAGAGATCTCAAATAAAGCTCAGTGCTCCCCACCTAACCTCAACAAGCCTTGGCGGCTTGGAGAGGGCCATCTCTGTGTGCTTGGGGAGAGCCAGGCAAAGCGGGAGAGGGGACAGTGTCCTTTTGCAATTATTGGGGGCAGGTGATTTAGGAGCAGAGGCTGTCTCTACACTGAGTTCCTTGGGTAGTTTCTAAGGGAAATGGGATGTATAAATGATGTTTACCTTTTTCCAAATCGGAGGGAAAACGGAACTGGCCGTCTGGGCAGTAGATGGCATTTCCTCTCTCTTGGGCATCTGGATGCGTTGTTCTTGCCAGCTTGGCTGGACCAGTGGAGCAGTAGCTGTCTTCTGGGGCAGCTGCCCTCCAGCAGGTCTTGATTCTTGTGGATTTTTCCATGGTGTAGACAGTGCTTCCCAACTAGCGGTCATTGAACCAGCATCATGTTGCTGTGTCTGGGTCAGTCAGGTACAGTTCTGAGAATTATTTCAGGACTCTGGACTTAGGACTCCGTTCTTGCAGGTTCTGAGTCCAGCAGGCCCTGCTTGGGGATCTAGGAATCTATGCTTCTCATTAAGTCTTCCAGGTGGTTTTAGTCAACAACTAGACTGGAAGTCCCTGGGAGAGGGAGGTAAGGGGTTGAGAAACTGTGCTTTGCAATTAGAAGGATTGCAGAAGGTAAAGATGGAGGTAAGTGGTCTTTGTTCTCTGAAAGCACTTTTTGCTTTTTGTCTTGGTTGTGTTCATAACAAGAAAATTGATTTTTTTTAAGGTGAAAAATCGTGCTATACAAACATTAGGGTTTTTCTTTGTTTGTTTTTGGTTTTTAGAAATCCTCCTGGCGATGGTGGCTCACGCCTTTAATCCCAGCACTTGGGAGGCAGAGGCAGGCGGATCTCTGGGAGTTCGAGGCCAGCCTGGGTTACAAGAGCTAGTTCCAGGACAGGCTCCAAAGCTACAGAGAAACCCTGTCTCGAAATCAAATGAACAAAAGCCATAAAAAAAGAAAGAAAAGAAAGAAATCCCATAGATAGCAGGAGGTGTATCTCAGTGGTATAGAAAACACCCAACACCCTTAGCTCTGGGTTCCTTCCATTCCTAGTCTTATAAAAAGGAGTGGGGTGGGCACAGGCTGGAGAGATGACTTAGCAGTTAAGAGCACTTCTTGCTCTTCCAGAACACCTAAGATTGGTTCTTAGCACCCACATTGGTTGGCTCATAACAGCCATAACTTCAGCTCTGGGAGATCTGGTGCCCTCTTCTGGCCTCTGTGAGAACCTGCACTCCCATGTACATAAACACATAAAGATGCACACACATGCACGTAATTAAGAATAATAAATGAGCCAGGTGGTGGTGCCGCACACCTTTAATCCCAGCACTCAGGAGGCAGAGGCAGGTGGATCTCTGTGAGTTTAGGGCCAGACTGGTCTGTAGAGCTAGTTCTAGGCAGGGTCCAAAGCTACAGAGAAACCCTGTCTCAAACAAACAAACAAACAAACAAATACATAAAATAATAATAAATAAATACAAAGTAAATATTTTTTAAAGGACTGCAGTGGGGAGAGGGGGAGAAGAGGAAAGAACAAGAAGCTTTCTCTATCATATAGAGCCTTGGATATGTCAACTAAATCTTGCTCCTGGAAGCAAGATGAAGTGCAAAGATCTAGCCCAGGAATATAGGTAACTAGGTTCTTGTTTTCAACTAGATGAATGTGAACTCATGGTTTTTGTCTCACTGACTTCCAGGGAGATTGACAGATGATGGGGACAGAGGGAACCAGTCATGTGGTAGAAAATGAGGTGACAACAGGGTCCTAGCTTTTATACTCACCTATGGGAATCCCACCATAGTTTTCTTTTGTTGTTTTAGTTTTTTCAAAGTGGATAACCGCTCTCCTCCTGAAACAGTCACCCCAGCCCCTGCTCTAACCAGCATGTGAGGTGTTCTGGTTCTACTCAGAGGGTTCCTGGTTCCTGGTCAAAGTCCTCATTTCCCAGCCCCTCCTGACCTTCCTATCCCTTCCACTTTCTATGGCACACACATGACCATGCCAACATGGTTGGGTAGACTTCCCCAACCAATGTTTGCTGCATAATCCAGGAGGAATTGTGTCCCTTATCCAATATTGCTGAGAATACCAGAATCACTGAAAATGCGTTTATCCAAAAGTTGCATGAAGATAGTTAATGAATAATAAATATATTTAAACATATGTACCAGACCTCAGGTAGATTTCTCCAAATCAAAAATTTCAGGGTAACCCCTTCCTTCTTTCCTTCCCTCCTCCTCCTTCTCCTCCTCCTCCTCCTCCTCTTCTTCATCCTCTTCCTCTTCCGATTCCTCTTCTTTTTGGTTTTTCAAGACAGGTTTTCTCTGTAGCTTTGAGGCCTGTCCTGGAACTAGCTCTTGTAGACTTGGCTGGCCTCTAACTCACAGAGATCCACCCACCTCTGCCTCCTGAGTGCTGGGATTAAAGGCATGTACCACCACTGCCTGGCAGCAGGGTAACTTTTCTAAAAAATAGATTATTTTGTCTGGCCACTGCATTCCCCCTTCCCCCTACTCAATAGGCATATGCTCCCCTCTTTCATCCCTCATAGGGTCCACATATGGGGTTCAGAGGCCGTCATCAGTGTCTGGTCAGCTTTGTCTCATTCAAATAGCCCTTCCTCGGGAGGCCGAGCAGACTTTGTGTCATAGCTGCTTTCTGCAAGGGATCAAGAGAGGCAGGCCCATGCATGACCACCAACTTCCTCTCTGATGTTACCAGGAGAACAAACATACTTTTCCTGCATGTCTCCTTACCTCTCTTTTTTTCCTCTGATTTTCTAGGTATCCAGAGTTATCATGGGGCCTGTGAGGACTTCACCCATCTCAGTCACATGGGATCTGAACTTGACTTCAGGTTCAGCAACACCAAACAAGGGGGGGGGGCACCAAATGGATGGAAGACACATTGACCTATTAGGACAACCACTACATCTGAACGCAGACAGAACCAAGTTTGAAGATGGACATTTCATCTAAGCACAATATTTTCTTGAGTGTGCTGTTGACCAATTCCTGAGCACTCCTGAATTTGTGAGGCTCCTAAGTACAATAAGCTGTAATGGATGAGATACAATTCAATAGGGAAGACCCAACAGGCCCCATAGTAACTCTAGTTACCCAGAAAAATGGAGGACAAAAGAAGAGATGGGGATTTCCAGGAGGCCACTTATGGAAGCCTGTGTAACAAGGGAGGAAGACCTCCCTTTGTCCATCTCGCCTTCTCTGGCTGCCATCAGATCAGCAAGGGATGCAGAGGGTTGCTCTATAGGCTAGGTGCATCCTTAAAGATTATTATTATTATCTGTTCTCAAAGTAAATGGCACAAACCCAACATGAACATAAGCTGGGACAGGCGTTATTAATGGTGTTTATTTTTCATTAGGAAGCCGGAACAATTCCCTAATTGCTAGTGGATTCCAGGATCTGCCTTATTTGTAAACAGTGGCTCTCACACACAAAAAAAGTCATTAACAGAATAAATAGCCAATTTAGAGCAAACAACTGTGCTTATAAAATGTAGTTAATGGTCTAAAGGATGCTTTGTAAACGCTTAGACTCCTGTCCACATCCGAACCTCTCTCTGCGGCTGACTCACCAGACCCCACCCACAGTCTAAGGACCAGGCCAGTCTTTCTGGGTTTATCACTTCATTTTCAAACGTCATTCTTCTTGTTTTAAAGCTAACTCACCCCCATTGGAGACACGTCATCAAATACAGAAAGGAATAGCAGGAAGGACGTATCTCTAACCGTGGTCCTACTTTTAGATATAACTATTAACATTTTAGTTTACAACCTCCTTTATATGCCAACAATTCATGATTGAGCTCGACTCCCAGCTATCACTGGGGATCCTGATTTTTTTGTTTCCTCAGCCAATTATTGTATGAGCATTTCGCCAGTTATTAAAACATGTTCTTTGCAAACATGACAATAACGGATGACCAGTATCTCAATGGATGGGCCACCTCTAATTTATTTAACGTAAGTCTTACAGCTGCATAGGTTGGTTCAAACCGTTCCCTATTAAGAGGTACTGCCTTCAGCGTCCCCTTGCCAGAGCATTTGTAACCGAGTTTAGGATCATTTCTTTGGAATAAGCTCACAAGAGAAGTTCCTGGATCAAAAGGTCTGAGTTTTTTTTCTGAGGCTCTTAATATAAATTCAGCCATGTGCTTATGGAGCATTTCCTTCAGGAGGACTTGAGCAACAAAACCAAAAGGCAGTTAGATGAGGGGCGAATAGGACTCCGCTGCCACCTTTGTCCTCTCAGTGAGATCAGAAGTGGTTTGAGTGGGGGAAAAAAATCAAACTTTCTTAGCTTGGAATGCAGGCAAAAGGTCCTAAAAATACAGCATTTTTCAAAAGGCAGCAAGTTCAAATTGGGCTTAAAGATAAAATGTCAGGGGCAAACTCTAAGATGGAGACAAACTCTAAAATGGAGGTGACCTCTGAGATGGAGAGGGACTTTCTAAGGAGGAGATGGCTTTAAGATGGAGACAGCTAGTGTGTTCAGATTAGAGGACCTGGAGCCCCTGGAAAGATGGTGGAAGGTGGTGTTCAGATATGATAGGGCTTCTCATTGTCTTGGCCTCTCGCCAGGAGTGGAGACCACCCACATAAATTCCCAAGACCTGATTTCAACCTCCTTAGGGGCTTCCTAGTGGTCCTCATGGATTATGTCTTTTGAGAATCAAAAGAACTGTAGTTGTTATTTAAATCCATTCTGCTTTAGAGCATGAGGCTAGGCATGCAGCAGTGTAAACAGACTGAGTTCTCTATAGGCAGGATCAATGCTTGTCTCATGTTTCCAATAACCAGCGGAGATCTTACTATGTAATAGGCACATCGTCATATGAATAGAACCGAATACATTCAGGTAGCTAGTAAACAGATACATTCAGAGGCAAATGTGTGAGGAGAATAAGACTCCACCAATATTGGCTGATGTCATCGTGACCATTCTTTCCTACCCTCTGGTCCCATCTCTCTGCTTCCTCCGTTGCCTCTGAATTAGGAGTCTAAATGTCAATGAACACGATTCCGCTTAGGCGTCCAGCCATGTGCCTAAACTGAGCCCATCTCAATAATGACTAATGGTGCGGAGGTGCTGATGTGGGTCCTCCCCAGGATTGGCAAACTTGCCTGTGACTCAGAGAAGCATTCTGTCCCCACCTTCCTCTTCTGGTAACTCATGGTTACTGATCCAGCATCCACATTCCTGCAAATGTGGATTTGTAAAGATTCCTATCTTTACTAAGAAGAGTACCTGACTTTTGAAGACAAGTAGGTCAGAACAAGTCAGAGTTGACTGATGTGTCGCTAGCCACCACTGTCCCTGCCATAATATCACCTAGAATCATGGCAGCCTTGTGCTCACCATGGCAACAGGACAGTGCCTGGCTTCTGTGGTTCCATTATCTTTTGTTGCCTTTCTAAAAGTAGGTACTTCCATGCCGCCCTTTCCTCAGCTTCCTAATGACGCGTTGGAGGTTTTTGATCTGAGGCTTGCTTCTCTTGCATTTGAAAAACAGATTTTGGGGAAGATGGTATGGATTCCAAATTGCACAGGATACAAGTGGCTTGGGTACTGACTGATTTTAAAATTTAGTGTCTGCTGGGACTTGTTTCCTCTGCATATACTGGATTTTGGGGATCCAGTCTGGATGCTCACCTTCCTGGACCTGGAGGGAGGGGGGAGGAGCTTGAACTACCCACAGGGCAGGAGACCCTGACCGCTATTGGGGATGGAGAGGGAGGAGGGGAGGGAGTGGGGGAAGTGGAAGGGTGTTGGGAGGAGGGGCGGAAATGGAGACTTTTGTATTTTAATAAACTTTGAGAAAAAAAAAGAAAAAAAAAATTTAGTGTCTGCGTGAGCTTTGAGACTATATATAGAAAAAAAGTTAAAACCATACTGTTCCTACCTGTGATCTCAACACTTGAGAGGTAGAGGCTGGAGGATTGCTGCAAGTTCAAGAGCAACCTGATTTATATGTGAATTTCACTCTCACTATGGCTGCACAGTGAGACCCTGTCTCAATAAAGGAAGAAAGGAAGGAAGGAAGGAAGGAAGGAAGGAAGGAAGGAAGGAAGGAAGAAAGGAAGGAAGGAGGAAAAAAACTGAGTCAAGCACTAAAACTATGTCAGAGCTGAGGATGAAGCTCAGGGGTAGAGGGTTTGTCTAGAATGTGTATGGTCCCGTGTTTGATCCTCAGTGCTTTTGACAAGATCTCCAGTGATCCAGGCTGGCCTCAAACTTACTATGAAACCGATGGTGATTTTGAACTTCTGGTCCTCCTACCTTCATCTCCCGAGGGCTAGGATTACTGATGCGCACTGCTACACCTGCTTTACGCTGGACTGGGGAATGCGCACAGAGCTTCCTGTATGCTAGGCAAGCACCTTACAGCTGAGTTCCAGCCCCAGCCCAGTTCTGTTTCTTTAAAAGACAGCCTAGAATTAGTGTTTTCTATCTACAGCTGGATGCAGCCTGACCTAGTAGAGTGTCTGCTTCTATATATATCTCTAGCTGGGGTTTGGGCTTCATGGGGTGGAAGTTTTGTTTTTCTCTTCGTGTGTCGGAGGCCTCTGCAGGCTGCTAGGCACAAGGTAGAAGTATGGTCAGAGGTTACTGAGTACCTGAGCAATGTTTACATCATGCTGGGATGTAGCCGAAGGATTATAGTTACAGGAATCTTCAGTACCAGGAAGTTTGGAGTAGTCTGTTCAGCATATCTGATGTCTCATTGGCCTAGAGGACTCTGAGGCTGGATGTTCTCTGGATCACAGGGTCATCAACACTCCTCTGGAAAGACCTTCTTAAGGGGTGTGGCTGGAGACTGGGACAAGCCTACGCTGTCATGGCGGGGGGGAGATCAATAAGGACCAGAGCCTAATCTGTAATTTTCCCTCCACACCCAAGCCCTCTTTTTTGCTCATTTCTAGCTCAGCACCGAGTCGACAGTATTCACAGGGCTCTCAGCTCCCATTAGGATCCGATGCGCACTTCTGGGAAGAGAAACACAGTGAAAAGGTTCACATACTACATAAGGAAGCCTGACATCAGGTCCCGAGGTCGGCAGACTCATTTTTCTGCCTTGTCTTGGGTGTTATAGTCTTAGGTACCAACACTGGGGGGAATTCTTACTGGAGAAGTGGGGAGACTGTGCTCATTCTTCCTTCCTTCCTTCTTTCCTTCCTTCCTTCCTTCCTTCCTTCCTTCCTTCCTTCCTTCCTCCCTCCCTCCCTCCCTCCCTCCCTC